CGCCGCCGTGCGCGCGCACGCTCCTCGCGCAGAGTCGTTTCCCGCAGAGATCCACCAACTGGCGCCCAACTGTACTAGCTCCGCCCGCGCCGCCCAGCAGGGGTCCGCCCTAACGGCTCTCGGGCGCGTGCACGCGGCTCCTCCCGCCCCTTCGCCAGATATCGCGAGACTGGTGCCGCCGCCGAGCCTGGAGCCGGATCCGCCCGAGGCGCCAAACCTCACGCTGGAGGCGGCGGCGGCCGAGCACCGCCTGTGCGGTTGGCTGTGCCGGCGAACCGGCCGCAAGTTAGCCAAAGGGCCGCAGGGCTCGCCCGGGGCGGAGTAAGTAGAGCCCGGGCCCGTGGTCTCGACCGTTAGCGACTATGGGCGTGCCCCGGGCGAGGCCTCGCCGAGGAGCTCGTCTTCAGGGCCCACCCAGGCTCGCGTGGACCCGACCATTTTCTCAGTGGCGCCTGACCGGCTCCCTAGGCAGCCTCGGGGTTCTGGCGTCCGGGTCGCTCCCCTTCAGCGGTGCCTGGAGGCTTGTACCCCCCTCCCACCCCGATCTGGGATAAGTCACGTTCAGGAAGCAGCCCCGAGATGCTCACACTAGAAAACAGGCCACCTCGTCCACGAGGATTAATCACGTAGAATAGCAGGAAGCGCATGGCCGAAGTTTGGAGCCATGAACTCAATGAAGTATTCTGAAAAAGGAGGTGATCTCGGAGGTTTTCTTTGCTGCTGGAGCTAAGCTGCAGTAAGACCCTTTGAGTGTACTAGCAGCATTTAAGAAAAGAAAGCCCGTGGCTTCTGAGCTCGCCCGCACCCCGGATTGGCAATGTTGGAGCCAGCAGATTACTGACTGGGCCTATAGCGATTTATTTCATCAACTCACATCTAATGGAGATAAACATACGCATCTCATAGCATTGTTGTGGGGCCTGAAGGAGCTAAGAGCTCCTGGTATTTGACCTTTTGGTTAAATGCTTAAATCGAGCCATAGGTACTTCCTAGATCCTTTGGGAAAAAATAATGGTTTTTGCGTTCCATTTGCCTCTGCATCGCCTTAAAACTTACTAGCAAAATTAATAAAAATTTAACATGAAGTACCAATCAGCCCAAGGTCCCCCTTAGAATCACATCGTCAGGAAAGTATTTTAGAGACAAATGTCTCAAACAACCCAGATACGCTGCAGGAATACCATCCTTTGAAAGTGATTTGCCATGAAAGAAAAGTGGACTCTGTCCTGAAGGATAGTGCCCTCTCTTACATGCAGTATAATCTTACCCTGAAAAATAATGTCGTTGCTGGGGAAATAAAATGTGTCTTTTGTTAGTGAAAATGTTTAGTTTTTGTACCTTTATGCTTTGTTTGTACCACTTAGGAGCAGCATGTAGCTGTTTTATGTTAACAGTCTTACTGTTACTGTTTTAGTTAGAGCATTTTGTTGATATTCATGTAATTATTTGTTTGGATTTAAAGTTCTAATTTGTCTGTTTTTCTCATTTTGTTTTCCTTTCCTTTTTGCTCACTGCCTTTTAATCATTCCTCCCCCCCCCCTTCTAAATTTGGAAGTCTTATTGATTTTATTCTCTTAGCAATTGCCCTGGGCATTGTAGGCATCCTTAATATATCAGTCTACATGTCCCCGAAAAGATAATGAAGGGAACCTGGAAAACCACCTCCATTTAACCTCTTCCCAAGTTGAACGCACTTGTGTTTTTCTGAAACCAAGTTTCATATAATCAACGGTGATTCAACACTTTACTTGCTCTTTATTCCTCTGGAATCTGCTGTTCCACCTGGGATTTTCCTTTTGTCTCAGGTTTAAACTTTGGGACAGGAATCAGCAATCTGCATAGCCCACCTTTTCTTGTGATTGTTTCACAAGAATGGAGGTTCTAGTCTGACTGCTGTGGTGGCACCACAGAATTGTTTGTGGCACAACATACCACCTAGCCTGGAAGACAACATTTACTGCCTGGCTTTTTGCAGTTTACCTACTCTTAAGAGTTTGTTTTGTGTAGGTCTAAGAGAAGAGAGCTTTCCCATTTTTGCTAAACTGAAAAGATCTGTGTTCTGGCTCTCCCAATTCTAGATGGATAACTTTAAGGGATATAGAATTCCAAGGTGGGCTTTCTTTCCATCCTGCTATTTCCTTTGTTCCTAAAAATTCAGTTCTCAGATTATGGCTCTTTGAAGATAGTTGACTGTTTTAATTTCTTTCAAAGTTGTGTTTCATTTGGCCCTCCCTGGTGGCCCAACGGGTTAGGAGATAGCATTGCAAGGGAGCTGCAGCCACTTCACTGTGAGTTCGATCCCTGCCCCGGAAGTAACCCACACGGTGTAGCAGACCTCTCCTGACCCTCCTGCTGCTCCCCTCAGTAGTGTACTTTGGCAATTCTGCTCCCCACTCTGTGGTGAATGCTCTCATCACCCCTGTACCTCTGGTTGTACCCCAGTTCTGTATAAGTGAATGAATAAATAAATAAATCTTTAATTGTAGATTTAAAAATTAAAAGATCTGGGCCTCTCTGGTGGTGCCAAGGATTTAAGTCTCAGCACTACCAGCAGCCACTGCAGCATGAGATCAATCCCCAGCCAGGTTGCTGACCCACACGGCACAGCAGACCTCTCCTATCTCACCCACTGTTCCCCTCAGCAGTGTACTTTGGTACATCTGCCTATTCTCCCTACTCTCCCTGGTGAATCTCTCACCCCTCCCCATCACCACCACCACTACACACCCTGGCCTTTACCCCAGTTCTTATATGCAGAAATAAATCTTTTTTAAAAAATTCTGCTGAAGGAAAACAAGAAAATAAAATTTAACTTGCTATTAGGGGAAAGAGCTTTCTACACATAAGGGACAGCAAAATGTTGCAAGAATCCTGGAACTGAATTTGTAAGGCCAGATCTTGGATGTCCTTGTTTACCTTTGAAAGGTTGTAAGGAAAGTGACCAGATCAGCTGTGTGTGTGGAGGAAAATGGATTGATTCTAGAGAGCAGTTTGGAGTTCAAGTGCCCAATTAAGATAGCAGTGGTTCAGCAAAGAGGCGCAAGAGGTCAGGAATAGGTCTGAACTACTGCAATACCAACAGATTTCAGGAGATTCTTAGGAGGCTGAATGTAATTCATGGTTATTTAACTAAGGACGGGAAAGAGCAGAAGCAGTCTAAAATAACTCGTTACCCACTTCACAGTAAGTCAGTGAACTGACAGGAAATATCAGAGACTTACAAAGGAGGGTAATGACACCCCCGTTTTGGATGCACTGAATTTAAGATGCCTCTGAGTGAGCTAGTGGTGTTCTATACTACGCATGGCAGGCCTAGCTATACAGGTCCGCAGCTTGGCAGGGGGACTTGGACTGGAATAAGCCTGTTGATAAATGAAGCCTGGGAAGTGTAGGTAATCACCAGGTGGCGTGTGAGGTGAAGACTCAGGTCTAACCAATGGAACACCAATACACAAGGGGTACAGAGAGAGGACACTGAAGGCACCAGACTTCAGCAAGAGAACAGGAAAGAAAGCATCAGGGAGAGGAAGGAATGGTAGATAGTGTCAGACTGGAAAGCATTAACACATGAATGGCATCCACTGATGTTCTGACCCAGCAGTAGCCTTGCTGGGTAGTTCTGGTAGAACTGAGGGGCAGAAACTAGACTGCTGCAATGGACTGAAGAAGAATGTGAAAAAATGGATACAACACGGTTTATTAGCTCAAAATCAGTACACAGCAAGAAGTCGAATCAAGACAACATTGTACATACTGCATTTGGGTCATCTATGATGAAAGCGAGCTAGCCAGTGGTTGCCTGGCACCGGGTATGGGGAAGGGGAGTTGCTTGCTAAGGGCACAAGGTAAGTTTTGGGACTGCAGTTTTACAGTTCTGGTGTGCAGTGCAGCTGTCTGTCATTACTCATTGACCCAGACTCATAAGTGGGTTCATGCTATGTGGAAATTATACCACAATGTTTAAATGTAGAGTTTTTTTTTTAAAAGGAGAAAATATGTATCATTCTGTTCACTTGTGAAGAGAAAAATGAGTGGTAGCTGAAAAAGCATTTGATGTAAAAGATGAGAAGTAGTTTTTAGATGGAGGAGACTTGAACATATGGACATGCTAGCAGAATTCAGGTGCAGGAATTAGAGGAGAAAAGAGAGCAAAGTGAAGGGAGGTGATAACACGTATCACGTCAAAAACTAGAATAATAATTAAACACACTGCTAAAATCTCAGAATCCCCCAGTTGTGGGTTGTCCCAGCAGAGTTCGTCACTAAGACAAACTCTGTTCCAGAGTCAGTATTTCTAGAATTAAATTCAGCTAATTCTTAATACCATAAATAACAGGTAGGCTGACTACATAGAGAAAGAAATGGCCTGAGTGAATTATTTTAACCATATCAACTTGTCTATATTTCAGAAGATTGGTAGATAGAGCTTAGAGATGGGTTCATAATAAAACAGTGTAGGAAAAAAGATGGAAACTGTAGGATTTTATGAGACTCATACTGTTCAAGTCCTATGCAAACATTATTCTCATTTATTACATCTTGTTGGCACTGAACTTTGCAGAAGAGGGAACAAGCTCAGGTCAAGTAACCTACCCAAAATCCCACTGCTGGTAAATTAAGGTGGGATTAAACCCTAGTCGGCCTGACTTAAAATCTGAGCTCCTTATCTAGTTAGGCAGTTGTGCCTCAGATTGTTCTTAAAAATGTTATGTATATGCAATTTTATCACAACAAAGGAAATCAAAACATTAACTCATCCTAATGCTTTAGCTTTCAGTTTGCCCCCAAAAGATAACATAAAGATCATTAAGATGACATTAGCAATCTATTCATGTCAGTGAGGGGGAGAGACATTGGTAAACTGAGTAGGCAATCAGCCTAGATTATGGAGTTCAACAGACTCATGAGAGTAAGGTTAAACCTATGAAACAGTCAACAAAATTACAGCGAAAACCCCTAAATTTCAAAAAAAAAATTTTATTGTTAATTCCTTTTTGAAGGAATTTTAAGTCCTCGTATGAAGGCAGCATCCGGGAAGCTCCGTTTCATGGCTCCCAGCCCTTCCCTCCAGGCTGCTGGGGCAACTTGAGACCCACTAAGCCAGCAGACTCCTCCACTGAGCGCTCACCCTTGCCATGAAATTCCTCATGCAGGGCCACATGTTCGCGGATGCTGCGCAGGAGACAGAGATAGGTGGCAGCTTGGAAATGAAGCTGATGTTGGGCTCTGCACAGCTTCTCACCGGTGACCTGGAAAAGCATTGAGATGAGACACGAGGCTTCAGGGTTTGTGTAAGAAACAGGCACGCTCTAGCGTGAGGGCACCCTGCACATCACAGCGGTGATGGTGTGTACTTCCTCTCTCCTACAGAGGCGCCGCCTTAGGTACAGGAGCTGACCTCAGTGGAAGAGTTTTTACAAAGAGCTTGAGTGGCCTCAAATTTTAATACGGAACATGTCCTCTTATTTCAATACTTCCACTTTACAAATGAGGAAACTGAAGCCCAGAGAGGCTCAGTGGTAGCCAGCAGATGCGGAACTATCACCGGGTCACTGATGACTAAAGTTGCCTAAGGAATACCCTTGCACACAAAAGAGGGCTGCTCGCTTTCACACTGCTGTGATTTTGCTATGTGGCACACACCTTTCCATTTCAATGAAAATCAAAAACTTTATTTTGTATGAAAAATAAAAGCTCTGCAATAAACAAATTCATTTTGTAGTAAACAAAATGAAGATTTTATATATAAAAGTAATAGTTCCTCTCAGAGTTTATACATCTCAAAATCTGGATTCTGTTGATGTTAATACATTCAAAGTCCCAAATGACTCCACACCTTATTTTTTCTTTATCAGTTTCCAGATTGTTCTGTACTATCTTGAACTGATTTTGCATTCTAAGAAATGCAAAGAAAATGGCAGAGGTGAGAAAGATGACCACAGATACCCTGGCCAAATGGGGGTTACACTACCATTGCCTACTTCTTTCTGTTTCTGACCTTTACTTTATAATCTAGGGTTGGAATATGAAAACTAGAAGGTGTAGTTTATGGTCAGATCTTGTGAAAATGGTAATTGTAAGACAAGGCTTTTTTGTTTTTTTTAAGATTTATGCATACAGAACTGGGGTACAGGCCAGAAGTGCCGGGGGTGAGAGGATTCACCAGAGAACCGAGTAGTGAGCAGAACAGGCAGTGTGACTGACATAACACTGCTGAGGGGAGTCGTGGGGAGACTGGAGAGGTCTGCTGCACCATGTAGGTCAGTCAGCTCCCTGGCCAGGGACAGAATCGTGGTGAAGCACCTGCACGAGTTTCAAGGTGCTGTGCTAAAACCCGTTGTACCACCAAGGAGGGCCCCAAGTCACCCATTTTAATCAAACGTTTTCGTTAAAAATTTACAAGAGCCTCCCTGATGGTCCAGGGGTTAAAAACAGGGCTATCAAACTAAAACCAGCCACTGTAGCAGGAGTTTGATCCCCAGCCACAGAGCTGACCCACATGGCTCAGCTGACCTCTCCTGTCTCACCCTCTGCTCCCCACGGCAATGTATTTTAGGTCATCTGCCTGTTCTGTTCCCCACTCTGTCTCTGATGAATCCTCTCATCCCCATCCTACGTCCAGCCTCTTTTTAAAAAAATATGAGATAGCACCGTGTCAAACAAAGGATTCTTTTCTACAATGTAAGCCCAAGTTGGTAAGAATTCTGTGTTGGCATAAAATAGAATACTGATCTTCATTTTGCTAAGCCTGAGTCAGGAGACAGGGGTCTGCGAGATATACAGTAAATGAATCACAAGAGACCAAACGAAGCAAAAAGTCGAAACTTTCCCTAAGTAGAAAGTTGGAGGTTCTCTCCTTAGGGAATCCCTCTCCTAAGGGAATGAGAGAGAAAATAGACACAGATGGTTATTGAGTTACCTCTGAGCTAGAAACAGAAAGCACACCTCACACTCCTGTGCATCCCACAAAAATTTTAGCATGAATTTCAGATGCATTGTCACGCTATTTCAGAGCCATCACCGAGCCTCTCAAGAAAAATGTACAACTCCGATCCCACCACCTTCTTAAAAATTCTGAATTCCTGCCTAACACCTACCTCACTGCACCCTCCACACCTCAGTTTAACCAGTAACACTTCTCGAACCCTTTCTTTACCCAGACCAGCCAGAATCTTCCCAGCACCATCAACTGTTTGCTAACTCCAATATATCCTTCAAGTCCCAGCTTTGTCTTTCCTCCTGATGTCATCCTCTTTTTATACCGGAAGCCCTGGTTTCCCCTCCCTAGCACTTCCTCACTCTAAGTGCATCCTTATATGGTTTCTCAGGTGGACAATGAGCTTCTTAAAAGAGGGCCCACGTGCATGTCACTCAGTTTTTAGGTGCGTGTTATTCAATATTTAGTCCAAGTTAATTCTTAGAATTAACACTGGCTTTTAAAAAAAGTAGTTGAATTTGAGTTCTAACATTCTGCAGGCAAACTTCCCTGGCTCGGCTATTCAAAAGTCAGCCTGACAGTTCTTCCTTTCCTGACTTTGCTCCCTAAAGCCCCAGCTGACCTTGCAACTTACTACCCTGCAGAGAGGCTGCAACTTTGCCCCAAGCTGATCCATGCCTCCAAGGTAGGCTTAATGGGAGCTCTCATTTGGGAACCAGGTAACTAGGTTCTAGTTGTTTTTCTACAAGTCCTTAAGCCTCAGTAGTCCCACAGGAAAAATGAAACCACCTCCTTCCTTCCACGTGCGCCAACGGGGAGAGGGCAGGGGAAAGGGGGTGGCCTGTGAGTTTCACGGAGCAATGCCCCAAGAATGGCTTCCATGTGTCCGCATTTACCTGCTACAGCAGGAAAAAGACGTTCCTGACCTGGCACTAGCTTCACAAGAGAAGTCAAACTTCTCAATATTCTTCCCCCGATCAGTCTGCACTGTCCAAATGCCTCCCTAGTCTAGAAGAGCGCGAAGTCTGCGGAGATGCTGTGGCTGGGCCCCTACAGGCCGCCAGAACGTGTCCTCTGCGCCCCCCTGTCCCTTCCTCGGCCTGTTCCCCACGACCAAGCAAAGGTCAGCCAGGAAGTCCTGGGGGACGGCTCCAGGCCAGCGCCGCCCGGCGCTCAGGGCCGGCGGTCTCGGCGGCCTGACCTGGGGCGCGCAGGCCCGGCGCCCCTCCCTCCCCGGGGCGGCCACGCGGCCACGGGACCGGCTCCGTACCCGATGCGCACGGAAGGCCTTCACGAGGTACCGATAGGCCGCGGTGTCGCGATACGGTCGGCCAGTGGCCGCGCTCACGTAGCGCAACTCCCGTAGAAGGCCTCGGAAAGTGCGCGCCGGACACCCGAGAGCCGCCATTTTCCTGCCCTCGGAGCCCGGGGCCCCACTGCGCTACGCCCCTCTCACGGCCTCTCCCCGGCCGGCCGCCTCCGGGTACGACCCGACCTCGAGGGCCGGCTCCACCCACCGCGCGGACCGCGGAGCGTCTATTTCCCGTCTCTGCGGAGCCCTATTAATCGAGCGCAGAGCGGCGGCCCGAGGCGTTAAGAGAAAAGCAAGCGAAAGACGAGCGTACGCGGACAGCCAGGTCTCACCCTGAGGACAGCCGAGCGAGGAAGAGGCCGTCCTTTCCTGGCGGCCTCCTGTAGGACGCCCGCGACTGGCCGACACCTGAATGGAGAAGACAGGAGCCTGGAAGGAGTGGGTGTCGGTTTAAAGAACACGCTGAGATTTTTTTTTTTTTGAGGCGATATCAAAATTCAACGTAATTGCCTTCCCCCAAAATCTCACGGGCTCAGAGGAAGTGGAACGTGCTTATTATCGTAAACTGTAGCCAAAAACTAGTAAAGGTACATACACACTTCCCATTGTCAAAGACGTAAAACGAAGTCAGGGTGTTTTTCTATGATTGTTTGAGAAAGGAAAAAAGACAAAACACTAATCACCCCAGATGGGACTCGAACCCACAATCCCTGGCTTAGGAGGCCAATGCCTTATCCATTAGGCCACTGGGGCTTCTGTGAGCGACGCGTTTAAACAACGTATTCAGTGTTTTTTCTCTTTCGTACGTCATTGTCACTTAGGTCTCTTTCTAACCTATCCTAGGAAACCATAACTAGTACTACTGTCACTGGTGAGGCATGCTGGGAGTTGTAGTTCAGAGGCCTAAACCCGCGTACAGCTCGGAAAAGCTTTACCCTCGAAGCAGCACCCAAGCGCCGGACGGAGAACAGGCGCGCGCACGGCGAGGCGTGTGCGTGGGCCTGCACGGCAGCTATTGCGCCTGCGCAGAAGCAGGCCAGCGACAACGCGGCGCTCAGCGCGCTGGCCAGAGGCGGAATCCCGTAGACTCGCCCTTTAAGCCTCAGCTCCGCGGGGTTTTTACCGGAAACAGCCGACCCCTTCCGGTCTTGGGGCTTTCGGCCTTAGTTTGGGTCCAGCCCGCCGTTAGGTGGCGTTCGCTGGGGTCATTTTCTGTTTCCGGTTGAAATGCTGAGGCCATTTCCGTGGGGCCACTGGCGGCTGGCAGGCGTCTGTCTTGCTTCCTAATTCGGCTGCTCGCTGTGATCTCTGGGGCGCGGGGAGCTGGTAGTGACTTGATTAGGCATAGGGACGGGCAAGGAGGGAGTGCACGTTCTGCTTCCTCTCCTGATGGTATAACCTGGTCCATCACTCCTTTCTGATTGTCAGCGACCGTAGCCCACCTTCAGCGGCTCATACTGCTTCCCCACAGCCGCGAGGAGCGAGTTAAAACAATTAAATGGACACACTGGACCCTGCCTAAGTGGCCCCGTGTCTGTAACTTAACCTTCGTCGCTATTCCTTTCCGCCACCTCTTTTCGTAGGGTGTCTCTCCACACCCTACGAGTTATTCCCTTTCCCTGGAACTTGGCACTTGTGCCAGTATTTCCCCCCGGGGAGCCTCAGGCAGAGTCTTCTCCAGGCGCAAAGCTCCTGGTGCACCTGTGTTTATTCTAGCATGAGTAAGCCATGCACATGTTGTACTTTCACCTTATCAGACTGGGAAATAGTTGACTCTAAAACCCTGCAGTTAGATGTTTGTTTTTCACCAAGCTGACTGGCTGTTGGACAGACATGCCAGCTGAGGCCGAGGCTCCTAAAAGTAATGGCGACCTTCTGGGCCCCAAGAGGAGAGCGAAGCTCTCGGGCAGTTAGGGCAACTCCAGTGGAAGATGAATGGCAGGAACGTTAATGAGCAGAGCAGTGTAAGAGGGAACCACCAGGACTTGCTTGCCTCTGTCAGTTGTTGCCATTTTCCCTCCATGAAAACCTGGAAACTGTATTTTAAAAAATCTTTTCTACAGCTTTCTTTTTAAAACTGGCCACTAATTAAAACGTTAAAAGTGGTGGAGCCCAAACAAAGCACTGCTGACCAGTCTCAGTTCACAGGTTCAGAATCAAAAAGGGTGAGATCAAAAGACGCACAAGTGAAAATGGGTGTGCTGACTTCTTGGAGAAAGAAGCCACTTCACTCACCTGCCTGATTTTTTTTTTCTGGTGGTGAGGGGTTGCCCCTGAGAATAACTATAAACAATGAATTTGTATTTATTCATGTCGCATGTGAAATTGTTCAAAAGCCCAGCTTTGTTATAGGTCTCAATATCTTAAAAAAGTTTTCTGGATTTTTTCTGTTCAATACACTATTATTTTCCTTTTTCTATTTTTTTTTAAGATGTATTTATGCGTAAGAACTGGGGTACAGGCCAGAGGTGTGGGGAATGAGAGGATTCACCAGAGACTGGGGAGCAGAACAGGCAGATGTACTGAAACATACTGCTAAGGGGAGCAACTGGCACAGGAGAGGTGTCCTGTGCCATGAGGGTGAGCACCTTGGCCAGGGATGGAGCTCAGGCTGCAGGGGCTGCAGACAGATTCATAGTGCTGTGCTTTAACCCCGTGTGACACAGCGAGGGCCCCAATACATTATGTATTCTCAAATGCGACAGCTCTTGAACAGCACTTCCCTTTGGTCCAACAAACCAACTAAATCCTCTGAAGTGAGTCTAGAGTGATAGAGTCCAGTCCCTTGGGGTGTTTGGTGCCCAGCTGGGTGGTCATGAAGAACAATAGCCTGTTGGGACATGTAGATTCCATGTTGATCCACTTTGGTCTTTGGTGCCAACCTTGGAACTGATACCTCTAGAACAGAAACTGCAGGTTCTGTCAGGCCTGCTCAGACCAGATGTGGCTCCCTGACCAGGACAGACTAAGGCAGCACTCTGAGTGGCCACCTTATTTCCAGTGGTTAACTAAAGGAGCTCTTGTAGCGCATCAAGGGGTCAGTGTTGTCCTGAGACACTCGGGAAGCTAAACAGTTTGCTTCTTTTGTTCCTATCAGTTCTCAGTAATACAATTTGTGGAAAACAATATCATTTACAGAAGCAAAACCTGAATGCCAGGCTAGATCCACCTAACATTAGTATAATGAAAATCATCTGGCAAAGTCAGTTCTCAATTGATTTGAGCGACCATGGAAACCATTTGGGCGGCCAGAGTGTGAGCAGCCTTAAACTCAGTGACTTACACAAACTCATTCTGCTAGTCACTTTGCTACCAAGCCAGTTTTTTTTCTTTTTTCTTTTTGTTCCATCTTGTGAATTAACATGTGGCCGTACAAGGCTCCTTTCCAGTTAGACAAGATCAGCACACTTGATCGCCCTGGGGCAGTAAGTATACCTCAGGAGGTATGACCGGGAACGCCCAGGGGGCTGTTGACTGATGTCCTTGCACCCCAGGGACTGAGTAGTAGAACTTCTTGTTAATAAGATTGGAGCCATGGGTGGGGGTTGGGAGTATATCAACGGACTCACCCTCCCTAACGCCCAAAATCCAGTGTTCAGTTTGACCCACCCTTTTCTCTGCCAATAAAAAGGCAGGGATCTTGCACTTGAGCAGTATCTGCACCCTACAGCCTGCTCCACAACTCCTGTTCCTTTATGAGTGGGGTGTTGCCAATGCAACAGTGAATTAAAATACAGAATACACATGCATCGAGGGGCTGCCCTGCCGCAGCATCCTGACGAGCTTGCATGTCTCCACATAGGCTATAATTACCCCTGACATCAGTTTTCCTCCCTTTGAGTAGAATTTTCTGTGATTGCTCTTGATGCCAAGAGACCAGCTTGTTAGAATTGCTGTGAAGCAGCTTCTCCTCGCTTAGGGAGACTGCCACAGGCGATTTCTCATCATTTTCCCATCTCAGTTGAGTGGGGAACTTTCCATCTCATTCTTTAAGCACTATTCATGTGTCATCTCCCACTCAGTGTCATCCTGTGGGACTAGGGACCTGTGGAGTGGCCCCCTTCCTGATCTTGCTCTCCTGTCTGTAAATAATAAATGGTCTGAGTGTGCGGAGCTTCATGTAGCTGAATCTGCGGTGTGGCAAATGCGGTAGTGCTAGGTTCTGAGCTGTTGCTTAGGGATGTGTTGTCTGCTTGACAATTAAAAATTTTAAAAGATTTATTTATTTATGAATACAAGAACTGGAGTGTAGGCCAGAGGTGTGGGGGTGAGAGGATTCACCAGAGGCAGAGTGAGGAGCAGAGCCGGCAGATCTACTGAAATCCACTGCTGAGGGGAGCAGCAGGGAGACAGGAGAGGTCTGCTGCGCCATGTGGGTCACCTCCCTGGCCAGGGATCGAACTTGTGCTGCAGTGGCTTTGGGCAGCTTCTTAGTGCTGAGACTTAACCCCTGCACCATGAGGGTGGCCGAGTGGTGAGTTTAACTGTAAAGGAAATGACTTCAAATTTGTATTCACTCTTAGTATGTGATGATAGTTTAAAATAATAGTTTAAATGCCTGCCAATAGAAGAATGAATAAACAAATGTATATCTATACAGAGGAATACTATTCAGCAATACAAATGTTTGTCTTTTGACATGGTAAAAAATCTTACTCCTCCTTGCATTCATTTTTAGGTTATATGTATTACTGTGCCAATATATTGTATATATATAATAGTGTATATATCTTATAAAACACTTAAAATTAAAAAAGCATGTTTTAAAAATGAAATCAACAATATTTTGAAAATATTTTTTATTGACAGTAAAAAAAGTCCTAATTTCCTTCAGTCAGGAAAGTTGATTATTTTACTGAAAACAATGTAATTCAGCATGTTATTTTGAAAAGCTTGTCTTAACACATTGTTTTGGGCAACTGAATCACATAGTGATAAACATTTCTACACATCCATTTTCAAATTTCTCTCTTAATAGCATGAGTTTTGTTTTTTTTGTTTTGTTTTTTTTGTTTTTCGTTTTTAAGGACAACAGTCATGCCTCAACTTATAGGTTTTAAAAAACTACATTGAACTGAAAGGGGCCCACGAAGTATATGCATTTCTTTCAGATACCAACAAGGCAGCTGTATCCATCAGGAATCACTTACAAAAAGAGAAACCACTGCAGTCCTCAGGCCCATGCTCACAGCACTGTCAGAAGGACCGAACATGAGT